AGGACGTCGACTCCTCCAGCGGCAAGGTTCAAGACGACGGGGAGGCGTCGTGGTCGATGGTCGGCGTTGTGGAGCCGACCCTTTCGCTTGCGCCAGAAGCTGGGGAGGACTTCAAGGCGGTCGCGGCCTCCATGCAAGCGAATCTGATGGTGGTGCTGCTCGACAGCGGTTGCTCGCACCACTTAACGGGGTCGAAGGAGGTCTTCGTCGACATGGTGCCTAGTGGTGACGTGAAGCATGTTCGCGGCTTCTACGGGGCTTTGTAGACCGTCGAGGGTTGTGGCACTGCCACTCTGCAAGGGGAGGCCGAGAAGTAGGTCCTCATCCCCGACGTGCTCTGCGTTCCGGCCAGCTGAAGGAGAGCGGTGTGAAGTTGCAAGACGACGGCGACGTGATGCTCCTCGTTTCAAGTATAGGCGAGGTGCTTAGTCGAGCACGGTACACTGGCCGCATCCTCTTCACTGACCTCCGTCGAACATGGCTTTGGCTTGCAGCAAGCTAGGGAGCGGCCTCACGGTGAGGAGCGAGCGGCACTGGCGCGAGGTCAACCGCTGCCTCGCCTACCTCGCGGACACCCGTGACACCGCCCTACAGTTTAGCTGTGGACCAGAGTCGCTGTGCTTGGTCAGCTACGTGTATGCCAAGTGGCTACGAAAGGGGCGATAAGCTGAACCGGAGGAGCTCAGGTGGCTACGTGTTCATCTTTGGAGGGAGCGCTGTCTTCTGATCGAGCAAGCGCATCAAACGCGCAATGCTCTCCTCGACCGACGAAGAGTACGTCGTGGCCACGGAAGCCGGCAAGGAGGGACGTCGACTTCGTTTCCTTCTTGCAGTGTTCTAGCTGCTCGACGCTGGGACGGCAACTGTCCTTCGTGTGGACAACCAGTCCGTCATCATGGTCGCTGAGAGCTTGGGGCAAGGGCAACTTCAAGCACATGGAGCGACGCTACGCCTGGCTGCAGCAGATGGTGAAGCGCGGAAAGTTTGTGCTACAGTACATCTTGACCATCGAGCACCCGGCCGACTTCCTGACGAAGTCTATGCACTCTCCGGCCTTCAAGTGGTGCTCTATCGCGATCGTCCAGGTGCGCCTCCCGGACGTCGGCGACGGTGATGACGACATGCTGCAGTAGGTGCAGAGTCTTTCTACGTGGCAGGTGTGGTGACGGCGTGCAGTGTGTGGGGTACACGCCAAGGACGAGTTTTCTCTGTAAAGCTCTGCCCTGTGCCCAAGCGTGAGCGCGGCAGGGGAGTGTTGACAAGAGTGGGTTGTTGGCCCCGCCCTCGCTTAGGTGACGCTGAATTCCTTGGTCGGGAGCGCGGGTGGTGCGGCCGCACAACAGCAAGGAGGGTATAATACGAGGATATGGAGAAATATCAACGGGTGTGGCAACCGAGTGAAAGCCATGTTAGACTATACGCTCAAAACCCTTTGCATTTAGCATATGTACGCTAGTGCGTACACGCAATACGCTAAACACTAGCGCGTACACGCAATACGCTAAACGCTAGCGAATACGCGATACGCAACCGTAAACATTTTCGGGCAGCCCGAAAAAACAACTGCGGAAATTATGCGGATTTTCTTGGTGAGCACTTCGTCAAAGTCGAAATGCAAATCCGTGGTATAGGGAAGCTGGGATCTGACTTCGAAGTTTTTAGGCACATCTCAAATCAAAAAGTCAAAATTTGGATCTCATCTAGGCATTGGAACCCATCCCTCTACCGCATTGAAAACCACATCATCCACAAACTCCAACCTATCAAATTCAACCCCCCAACAAATCTCACGCTAGTACTTACCATCCGGCCCAACTCCTAACCTGTCATTTCCTACCTTGCATTCTCGCTTCCAGCAGAGTCCCCGCACATTCCTACTTGACAGGCCTCTCCAACACTACACCTCTCTCTAGATATGATGTCTACCCACGCCCCACCCCACCACCCATCGGACTCAGGAAAATACTAGGGCACGTTTTAGTGAGATGAGATAGGCAGTACATTTTTTCCACCCTGCCCGAAATGATCTTTCCCTGCCCAAAAAAGTGCATGCTTAATCCGACCCTCAAGCGTGCTGCGTGCAAACGCTAGCATATATACGACACAAATATATACGCTAGACACGTTTAATCCAACATAGAGTGAAAGAGGATGTAGAAAATTGCCACACCAACCAAATAAACGAGAATCTTGAGCAGGCACATGAGGTTCAGTGGTACACACGTCATGCTACGAGCCACTTTGCGTGCCACACGCTCGCCGCCTACACTTGACCTCCTTCCCTTGGTGCTCTGGAGTCTGCACTCAGCTTACAATGTCTTCAGGCTTGTCATGCGAGCCACAATGGGCGCCAGGGGTCCTGACATGAATGTTGATGTTATCTCCCTGCCACACATGCAGGCATGTCACATGCCACCATGAGGATTGAGACTAATGGAGGCCCAGTTTGGAGCCATCGTGTCAATACATGGCAGCCCCCTGCCACACACATTCAGGCACATCATATGCCGCCATAAGGATCGAGACTCTCTTGACTTGCTTGTTAACTCACCTGCCTTCAGGCGTTCCCTTGTGACATGGGACAAAATTTTGGATTGAGCGTGTCATTACCTGGTCCAGGAAGTACGTGGAGCTTTGACAAACAAGACAGTGTGTGGATTGGGTCTGGCACTTGACTCGTCAAGTGGTCACTTCCCTCCCAACATGAAATCAGCGCAGCCGGCTTGTCCCGAGTGAAGACCAGACCACCCAGCTCGACTTTTTTGAGGCGCCTAAAAAATCGGCTTGCCCCGAGAGCAGATCAGACCGCGTGGCTCAAGTTTTCAGTCAATTAAAACACAGCTGGCTCGCCCCGAGTGGAAACCACACCACCCGGCTCAACACGCCGGCTTGCCGACTCACACGAGCGAGACATGTCGACAAACAACATGAACGGAGCAAGAGCAATAGTGATCGCAATAGAGAACTACATGAACAGAGACGGGAAGAGAAGCAAACAATCAAAGCAGGCAGCTCGAACAACGAAGCAAGCGAGGGAATGTAATGGGGGCATGAGCCCATGACTCAACCCACTGCCTTAACTCCTCTTCTGAACTGAACTGAAGGGTTCCGGCCGTCACAAGTCGTGCCAGGCCAACTGAGTGTTCCGTGCAATGCACGCAAGGCGGGTCGGCATCGTCACTTGATCGACCGGGCCTCAGCTCGTCGAATGGTCGACAGCATCGTCACACAAAAGTAAGGCATGTCCCATTCTTGTTGATGTCTGCCTTCGCTCCTACCTACCGTCCTGATATCCATCCGTTGTCATCTAAACTCCGAAGTTATGTTTTCCTTAAGGTAAAACATCCCGTTATGGTAAGGAAACAAGCTCTCCAGATCATGACCAGCCACGTCGAGATCCTCCCTTTTTCAACAAGCGGCCAGCTGCCTAAGGCTCGGCTTGATCGGCTCATGGCTCATGCCTACGACGGGTTGAGAACAGGCATAACGAGATACGAAGAATCACCCAAGGAAATTGCTGCATTTGCCAACACCCATGTAGTCTGGGGTTTAACAAATGGGCGTTGCTAAACCGTCACCTAATGTGGCAGCATGAATGCCATACATCAACATATCCATCAACATATACATCAGCATGTCTGGGGAATGGATCAAGTCGTGACTCGACACATTTGAATGACTCTGCTCCTTTGATTTGAGCAACGCCTTTGCTGCACAAGAACCACCTCGCAACCACAAGGCACACAGCCAGCTCGCCACCTAGTGCCGTGTGGAAGCAGCAAGGCAGGCCCAAAGCAAACATGCCTACCTGACATACTGCTCCAGCTTACACACGACACTCACAGGTGCCACAGCTTCTGCAGTGAGCTGAGAGGCGGGGGCACCACGCCGTGCAGACGCAAGTTGCGGAGGGACCTGCGGGTGTTGCAAGGGGGCGGATGAAGGGGGTGATATACCGAGTGTGCTGGCACGATATGAGGGCTGTTAAACAAGGGGGTCTGCTGACAAGGGGGGCTGTTGAAAGATGGGAAGAGCGGATTGAAAGGGGTCACTCTGCGTGCAACACAAAACAATTGATTGGATGGGCAATTGATCATGAACAGCTTAGAAGAGGGAATAAGGAAAGCAAACAAGCAAAAAAAATAAAAAATCAAACAAACAAACGAAACAGAAGCAGCAAACGTGGGTGCGCACAGGAGTTGTAGGCTCCTGAGGTGAGCCAGGGAGGATGGAACGGTGCCATTCAAGTCATTCACACCCAACACCCTGCGCATAGGGGCATGCGTAAGTGCAAGCATAGACACGCAGAGGAGCACAAGGGCAAGGAGCGAACAAGTCCGTGAATAGTGCCGCCAGCTTCAGTGATGTTTGTGCAAATGCTTGCTGCTGGTTGGTGCGGAGAGAGAAGAAGAACAGCTTTGCTCATTATCACGATGCTCTACTGCTATGGCCCCTACAGATTGACTTGTGCAGGAAAGTCTGGCAAGAGGAGGAAGTGAAATGGTGGTGTTTGCTGTGAAAGAATCTCAATTGTGAATATAGGAGATGAAGGGCAACTTGGCTGGGCAGCCTAGGCATTATTGAACGACCAATGAGAATGGTCACCGTTAATGCTTTGGGCTGACCATCAAGTCTGGGGGCAAATAATGGTTTGGATGAACCAACCAAGCTGGTTCCCTCCCCAGTCAGTTGCGGTCGAGTTGGGTTCGGATTGGGACGCCTTGACCCAAACTTTACACCCACCCATGAGTATGCTGAATACTTGCATATGTTGAACACTTACATGTTGAACACTTACGTGTTGAAACATATGCAACATATCCATTCAGCACTGAATGAATACTTGCATATGTTGAACACTTCCACCCACCCAAGTGTTGAACGGTGCCATTCAACATGTAACACTTGCACGAATATAAACATGCATATGCTGTACTCTACTAACATGCTGGCCTCGCATCACTCCATCCATCCATCCCTGTGTCGAGCCTCGGACTCACAGGATGCGCAGCTGAGAGAGGGCTCCAATCCATGAGGGGATGCTTCCTTGCAGCCTATTGTAGTCCAGGTACCTGCACAGGGGATAATCCAGGTAGCAAGGCAGCACAACACAAACCACAATGGGAAATAGCACAGTCGTAGAGGCAGCAGCAAAGGCAGCACGGCACAAGCGGGTGGGAGCTAACGCTGATGCAATGATGAGGAGATGGTGGCTTCCACTGTTAGCTTGATCCCCGGTATGGGCATCATCAAGGCTTCTGCATGATAGTAGAATGCTGTCCTGATGGGTGGGTAGGTGGGTGGGTGGGTGGATGTGCTGTGCTTACATTTGTGGCATTCCTTGCAGGTGGGAAAGAAATTCGGGTGGAATGGCAGGTGTCGGCAGAAATAGCAGCCGATTGGGCTGTGCTCACAGTTGTGACAGTCGTCGCAGCTGGGAGAGAAAATCGGGCAGGGGTCCTGTAAAACTGTTGTAGCTCAGGGATCTAGAGATGCCGAACAAACAGGGAGGCAGAGAGGGAAGTGGAGGTTGGTGGAACGGGGAGGTGGGAAAACAGGAGGGGAGAAACGGCAACGGAAGAGTGTTGTAAAGGTCTTATTTTGTGGACAGAGACGTATCAATAAATCATGACAGCTTTCAATTGGCAAAACTGCAAGTCAAAATAAGCCAGAGAGATGGGGATATATAATCACTGGGGCACGACAGAGAGAGCGGATCAAACATAGCCAGCAGAGGCATGGGAAGGGAGGGAGGGGTCGCGCTGCAGAGGTCGTGTGGGATGCCAAGTGGAATCACGTAAAAGAAAGGCGAAGAGAAAAAGCAGGGCCGCATTGTAATAAAAGGGATGCCGTGTGGGACTGTGCATAGGGTAAGAGAGAGCGTGGTGAGAGGGGCTGGCTGGCACTCACAAGATGGCAAGGTTGGAGAGTCGAGTTAAAAAGCCTGGCAGCCACCCAGAAAGAGAGTTGTGGCTTAGCCCCCTGACAAAGGCAATCAATCGCATGCATGCATGCAGTATACAGACAATCAAGCACAGGGAGAGTGGGTGGCTCGCGAGTGTCCCCTGGACGTGGCCGAAAAGCAAGGCTCCAAATCGCACGCGAATGTAACAAGCTGGACGGGAATGCAGTCTGGTGATGATGGGTACAGATGCTGCTAATGCTGGCATCCTTGGAGTAGACCAGTAGGGGGCAGGCAGGTGCAGGGGCAGCAACAGCATCACTAGTAGCAACGACGATGACTCACAGGGTTGTAAGCTTGTTCAGGGAGGACATCTCCAGGGGCAGTGAACCGTCCACAGCATTCCACTGCATGCCGCTGCAGTAAGGGTCCAACGGAAGTTGGAGTGCAGGGATGCCCACAGATGACATGATTCGTGTTTTGAGTAGACTCAAAACGCATGACATGAACACACGTGGCAGGATGACTTTAGAGTCTCAAAAGTCACCTCGACTCAAAAGTCGACTCAAACGCAGGACATAACAAACATGTGACAGTGCAGCGGATATGAGCAGAAAACCCAGAGAATGTTGGACTTAAATGGTTGACAGGGGGAAATAAAAGGAATGATTGGATGGGCTGGTTGTTGTGGAGGTTTCAAAGAATAAGGCTTGATGAGAGAGCAAGAAAATGATGGGTAGATTGGAAAAACAGCCTTCCCATGACATGTCAAGTAACCACTCCAAGGCCTAAGGTCAAGCCAATCAGGTCAATCAATAGGCCAATCCTAGGCTCAAGCTAATATGCCAATCCAAGACGGGTGCTAGAGAACGTGCAGCTACGAATGAATGGCATCATGCCCTCTAAAAGGTGACCCAGCAAGGCCATGCGAACACAGCACCACATCACAGTACCCCATCTGAACACCATGTACCACAACATAGCAGTACCACGTGTGAAAGCACACACTACAACATGTGCCGTGCACATGCACTGGACTGCTGCTTCCTCACATATACTGCAGGTTGCTAAGCTTGCTGATGTCTGCGGGGATGGACCCAGAAAGGTCGTTGTAGTTCAGATTCCTGACGCACAACGCAACCCCCAACCATCCCCCCTCCGCACAAGAATGGGAATGTGCCACAGTAGCAGTATCATACTGGCATGGCAAGTGCCCTAGTGAATACTACACATAGGTTGGAAAGAAGGATGTGGATAGGATAGCATAGCAAGCAGCTTTTGGGAGCAAGAACCAATATCAGCTTTTGGGAGCAAGAACCAATATCAGCTTTTGGGAGCAAGAACCAATATCAGCTTTTGGGAGCAAGAACCAATATCAGCTTTTGGGAGCAAGAACCAATATCAACTTTTGGGAGCAAAAACCAATATCAGCTTTTGGGAGCCAGCTCCATTCAATGTCATGACAGGCAGTTCTAGCTCGCTCGCAACCTCCAAGAAATCAGAGTTCACGCAATCGGACGCAGGCAGGCCCTCTCACGAGCCATACGCACACCACACAGTTCCCAGGCTCTAGTAGGGGCTGCAGGAGGTCAGGAAATGCAGGGGGTGCAGTGGAGCTCACAGTTCAGTGAGGTGGCACAGAGTGAAGAGTGCGGACGGCAGTGGGCCCAGCAAGTGGCAGTTTTTCAAAGTGCTGCATGGATAAATTGGCAGAGGCAGAGGCAGATGCAGAGGCATACACGCAGGCAGGCATGCAGGCAGGGAGGCAGGCAGGCATGCAGGCAGGGAGGCAGGCAGGCACCGGCACAAGGTGAAGCATGGGCACGTTGTGAGCGAGCGGCACAAAGCATACTTGATTGCAGCATGCGCAGTCACGGGATTCGCCAGCACAGGCACAGATGTAGAGCATGGGGAAGGAAAAAGCAGCTTCGGTGCACACCGAGCACAGAAATTACAGGCGCAGCCAGTGCTTGGTGTGTAATGAAGTGGAGAGGTGCGCTTTTGAGTCGACTCAAAAGCAAAAGCATAACAGGCAGAAGTAGAGAGGTACGGAAGGAAGGGCACAGTGAATGCTGGAATGGACGAAGCGAATGGATACTGTGAGAAAGTACAGGAGGGAAACAGCGTGGCTCACAGTGATTCAAGCCGCTGCAGACCGCTAATGGCATCTGGAATTGGATTCATGAGAGCCTTCTCACTCACACTCCTGGTGAAAGAGCATGAAAAAAACAGGAACCCGGAGGAGGGGCATGTTCATCACACGTGTAGAAGCTGGGGAATATCTATGAAGTGAAAAAAAATAACAAACAAACAAACACAACAAAGCAAAACGCTAAGTGTATGGCATGGCGCCAATCTGTGGCCGCCAAGGTAACAAATGAAGACACAGGTTTTTACACATGACGAATGAAATCACAGTGAGACACAGGCACACAGTGAGTGGTGGATGACATTCAACCTTTGGGATGTCTCAAACGCGGGTGAGTGGATGGCACAACTGTCAAACTCATATGATATAGCTTGTCTAGGCTATAGTGGGGTAGACACTATGGGGTACAGTTTCCTAGGGTTTCCTACATGTACCCAACTTTGTGCTAGTTCATTCATTCCTCATTCTTCACATGGTATAGAGCAGGTTCCCTAGTGGGAACGCTTCCTTGGGCCCACCACTGAAATTTGCCTTTTTGACCGGAGCGCCAGTCGCTCCTGCCCGAGGCGCGCCTTTTTTTTTCGCTGCCCTTTCCAGGCCCCTAGTGGCCCCTAGCGGCCTTGTCACCGCCCCCCACGCGGCCCCGTTGCCGCCCCTCGATACGCATGATGATAGTGCTGTGGTGAGCAGGGAAGTGCTTGCTTACAGAGATTTGACAAAGCCATCTGTGGTGCACGTGACGCCTGGCATCTCCCGACAATTGTTCTTGAACTTCCAGGATTGGGATTGGGGGAATGAGCCCCACTCATCCGCCAGCATCTGCATCACATGCACTGGACGCGACAGTGTGGCATGGGGTTGGCGAGTTAGGCAGGTGAGTTTTGAGTCGACTCGAACACACCAGGCGCTGCAGGAAGGCGATGATACTGACGGTGCCACATGGAGCACAGCATGGGGGACAGCATGGGGCACAGCATGGGGTTGGTGGGCTAGGAGAAACGGGGTGGCAGACCAGACCAAAGCAGAAGGCAACATTGACACAATCGCGAGACAGGGAAGGATGGATGTGCAGTGGGTGCAATGCAGGCTGAGGTGGATGAGAGAGTGAGAGAGAGAGAGGTGTAGCAGCAATGTGAGGAGAGAGTCTCTTCACTATGTTGGAAAACTCTCTCAAGGGGGGGGGGGGAGCGTATCATGTTCGTACGCGATCGTATATACGGAAAAACGTGGTACGCCCCATGATATGTGATACGTGGGGTCTTGCAGCCCGTTCAAAAGCAAAAAAAAAAAACAAAAAAAAACAAACAAAAAAAACTCGCCATTGTTTAATGCAACCATCTCGAACATAAGTGTCAAATGCAACCACTTATTCTCGCAAATGTCGAATGTCAAATGTCACAAAATTTCACAAGCAGCTGAACGCTAGTAGCCAGAGGAGCACAGATCTGGCATCCCGCAGCCAGAAACGTGCGGATCTAGTATTCCGCTGCCAGATCCGCGCACATCTGGCATCGGCGTTATACAAACCACCTCTCTTTCCATTCTGCCCAAAATGTTTTTTCCCCTGCCTGGCAGAGCTTATTGAGGGCATTTTCTGAGGCTGGAATCCCAGCCAATAGCGTACGTACATCACCAAATAATTGGTACGCATCTAATACACCAGACGAGTATTTTCCAACCTAGCTCTTTCATGTGTGAGTTCTGCATGGGTGTGCATGTGTGATTGCATGTAAGTGCATGTGTGCACTGATGTAACTGTGTGCAGTGGTGTCCGCGTGGGTTATTGTTGACGAGAGGGAGAGTGAGAAGAGTGACATAGGAACGCCAGCACCAGTCTCTGCTCTTCGCATTATGTTCCAAGTGCACGTGACACCAACCAACCAACCAACACTGCGCAGAGCGCACTTTGGGTGGATTGAAGCAGCTGCGTGGACGCTTCTCTGCTACAGCACGCGCATATCAACGCCATCAGCAACAACACGGAGTGAGCATGCGTCTTTCCCTGACGTGCCATCTTCCCATGCTCATGTTGCCATATCATGATGTGTCCAAGTGGGCTTCTCTGCAGGGTGGGCAAGTACACGGGCGACAGACAGAAAACCGAGCTTTGCATACTGGGAAACAAGCATACGTGATCTAGTGTTGAATGAGTCTGGGCAGTGCACTTATCAAATTATAACTGCCTGCTGAACGCAGAGACCTGAATGAAGGCTCATGAGTGCGGCTGCACGCCACTGACTACCAGATGTAGGCAGTTTTGAGGCGTCACGAAACTAGGCTGGTGCATGCTGACTGCAGAGACCTGCAGGAAGGTTCCCACTCATGCGTACGGCTGCTGAGCTGTGCAACGCACCCGTGCATGCGCGCTCGCACCAACACAGATACACACATGCACACACGTGCGCGCGCGCGCATGAGGACACACATGCATGCATGCTTGCACGCACGCACACAAGCATGCACACGCGCACGCACGCGCGCGCGCACACACACACACATGCACACGCGCGCACGCGCACACACGCAGTCACACACACACACGAACACACACACACACACACACACACACACGCAAGCACACGCACACGCACACGCACACGGGCGCGCGCGCACACACACACACATACATACACCTCACCAAAATGTTGTTTACCCAAATCTGGCGCAAAAGCCACCTTGACCCCAGTCTGGCTCAAAGTTAACCTTAAACACACCCCCCCCCCCTCACACCACACACACACACACGCGCGCGCGCGCGCGAAAGAGCCCTTCGGGTGTCTACGTTCCCAGCTCCAGGAGTCCTCGCGAATGCGCCTGCCGGAAAAACACCTCACGCAGCAGCGATACTCACAACAACGCCACTCCGGCGGGCTGCGCTATCATTCCGCCCCGACGTCGCTATTCGAATGTGTGGCCTTCTCCGTGCACGAA